GGCAGCACCGGGCTTTTCCTGGTGCTTGGGGCGGGCGGCAGTCTGCTCTCACCCAGCACAGCCCCACAGCCTGCAGCCCTCCTGGGGTGTGCATAGCAGCAAAAGCTGTGCCATCCCGCTCCCTGCCCCACACCCACTGACAGTTCCCTCCACAGCTGGCATCAGCTGTTCCGGGGGCCACTGCAACAGGGGCTGGGGTGAGTCAAAACAAGCAGAGGTCCGGGGGACATGGGGCACAGTGCAGCTTGTCCTCACTCACCCCAGCCCCTGGGCTGTCCAGTGCAGTGGTGCAGCCAGGTGGTGTCGGCTGCTCCTGGGGCTGCTGCACCAGGGGCTGGGGTATGTGGGGGCAAGGGGAGCCACTGGAGTTTGGGGCATGGCGTAGCCCAGCAGCTGCAGGCAGCTTGTATCAGCTGTTCCCAGGGCTGCTGCAGCAGGGGCTGGGGTGGGTGGGGACAAGCTTAGCCATGCCTCTTGTTCCCTGGGCCTCCGCTTGTTCCCAATCACCCCAGTCCCTGCTGCAGCAGTCCCAGGAACAGCCGACACCAGCTGCTTCAACCGTGGCATGGCACAGCCCAGGGGCTGGGGTGAGTGAAGACAAGCAGAGCCCCACGAGGTTTGGGACGTGGTGCTCCCGGGGCCACTGCAGCAAGGGCTGGGGTGAGTGGGACCCTGGTCCCACGGCCCTTTCCCATCCCCCCACAGACTTACCTGCTTGGGGGAGAGGGGAGCATGCCTATGCTTGTCACATAAGAGTGAATTTACCTTGCACATAAGAAATTTTGGGTATAAAAAGTGTCACTGCATAAGAGCAAATTTGCATATACAGAACCTGCATAAAACAAGGGAAACTTGTGTAAATAAGTGTATATAAACTGATGGGAGCAGTTCCAAGTATCTTAATCGGGAGTACAGCTGAAGATTAAAAAGAATGATTTCAAGTCTAATTAGTACCCCAAAATAAAGAGTATAAGCAGGTTGGGGTGCCTGCTGTTGTGCAGGCAGACTGTCCCTTTAAGAACTCTTCAGCCAATCCAAACAATAGCCTATAACACAAACTATAACCATTGATACATACAAATGAACAAAGCTCATCAACCTTTTTGTGGGTGTCAGAAAGGGACCATAACTCTAGCCCTTCCGAGAAGTGAGCGTCTGGGTTTCAGTCCATCTCCTGGCTATAAACTGCTCCTTGCTTTCTCCCTGCTTGGGCTTTTAGCTGCCAGCTAATCACTGGAACCTGAGCTCCCCCCACCACCCACAGCTGATAGCCCCAGTTAAAAAAAAAACAGACCATCCTGCTACAAAGACGTAAATAACTGGTAACTGGGCACATCTACACAAGAATTTTACTGTGGAGCTGCCTAATTAGCTCTGCAGTAAATGTCACCTGCAGTAAATACGTCTGTATATGTGCTTCTATTAGGGCGCACAAAACTTACAAGCTCTGGAGCAGGCTAGTACTTGTAAATTCTGGGTGCATATACACAAGACACTTTACTGCACGCTAGACTAATGTAATGCACAGTGAAGCGTCACTGTCTATATGTCCATGGCATTTACTATGCATTAATCTAATTAGTACTGCGCTGGTACCAACACATACAGGTGCTAGACAAATGGCACATAAACTAATATTCAGTAGCACACGTGTAAACGCTGATGTCAGGATGTCAGGCACAAACTGCACCCAGTCAGCCGCACAAGCAGGAGGCCAGCCTCCTGCTTGGGGCAGAGCCACATAGCTGGCAGTTTCTCCAGCTGTCCCAAGCTAGCTCCCGGACCCCTGGCCTTATTCCTGGGGCCCGTGCCAGCTGCTACTTGCTCTTGGGCACTGTGCCCAACCAGTGTGGGCATGTGCAGGCCACAGCAGCCTTGCAGCCCCCAGCTCTGCTCCCTGGGGCTTGTGCCAGCAGCTGTCTGGCGTGTAGCCTCCATGACTTGCCAGTATGGGTATGTGCTAGGCCCTGCAGCCTTGCATACTCTGGTTCTGCCTCCCAGGACACCACATAGGCAGAGTCTGTCTCCTGGGCACCATGCCCCAACCCACATGATGCCGACACCCAGAGCCCCAGCCTGATCCCCCAAGGCCCCTGGCAGCAGCTGCCATGGCAGCCTCCCCAACACTAAACACAGTGCCCTGGGGCCCCAACTGGATGGAGCAGGAGTCCATGGACCTTGTTGCAGTCTGGTGATGCAGGGGTCCAGCAGCAGCATATCTGGGCCACAAGGGCAAATGCACACATCTGTGTGCCATAAGGGCTGTAACAGAGTGCTATTAAAATCTGTTATTTGAGTAAATGAAAAAGAGAAGTCTACGCTGAAAGCGGAGCCGTGGGGGCAGAAGAATGACATCATCGAGTGTCTCGCCAGATGATCAAACACACCTGCAAACAGCTAGAGGTTTCTCCCAACGGGTGAATGAAAAATGTGATAAAAACAGACCCCTGGAAGGGAAAGTGCGAGTGAGAGATTCGCTGTGAGAGCGAGAAACTCCCTGTGTGGAGCCACAGAGCGAGGAGAGCATCACCAGAGCAAGCAGGGGACCTGTGGTGGAGGTGGGTGCTTGCCTGTATACTCACCGGAACGGATGGTCGTGACTCTGAGGAGTTGGAAGACAGGATGCAGCAGCTCTGTGGAGAGGAGAGAACAGTTAACAGGTGAGTTTTGGCTGAGATGCGCTCATCACCAGATATAAAGACTGTTATAGACTGTATCAAGAACGTGCTTTCATGCAATTATCTGTGGTTACAAATTTACTATAAGTGAAAGAAGATTGATGTACATCAGGGTCGAGGCACTACAAAGACAGCAATTTAACTTCATTTGTGGTTAATCTGTATTTTTATCTCCCATCAAAGGCGTAGCAGGAAAGTGCCCGAATGAAATGGGAGTTTACTATAATCTCCTGTAACAAGGGCCATGTCAGACCTCATGCGGAAGTGTGGCCGCCAGTGCCGTGTGACGATCAAGGACCTGTGGGCCCAGTGGGTCCAAGTGATGAACCACAATTATCAGTCTGAGGCTGCCTGCAGGTCCATGCCCTTCATATGGCAACTAGACAAGAACCTGAGGGACCCTGGCAAGCCCTGCCTGCTGGAGCCTGCATCATGGCTCAGCAAGGAGGAGGACTCACTGCGGGAGGGCCCCTTGGGGCACCAGCACCAGGTCCTGGTGTGCTCCGTGGCCACAGCCTCACCTGGCAACCCAGGCCACCAGTTACCCTGCCAACTACAGCAGCACACCCCAAGCCAGGAGGACAGGCCCCAGCAGTGAGCAGCTCCAGCTCCTCCCCAGAGAGAGCCATTGCTCGGGCAACCAGGTACCATGCCTCTGTGCCCCAGGACACTGCAGGCGGCTGGACCATGTCACTGCAGCCAGGGACTGAGTCCAACCGCTGGGATTTCCTGCCACTCCTGTCTGGTAAGCTCTGCATAGAGGGAAGGGCTTGTGGGGGAGAAAGGGAGTGCCACGGCAACCCACGCCCATGTCGGCTCACCTGCCTACCTCCAAGCTACACGCTTGGAGCCAAGGGCCTCACTGAGTGAGTGGAGGGCCCTCACCTCACCTCCCAACCCTTGCTAGCTAAGCTCCCTCCCTGCCTGCCAGAGTATCCCCCACCCAACATGTAGAGAGGCAAAAGACCAGTTAAGGACTTTATTGAATGGAGAGCAGCCTCCCAGCTAGGCAACCAGGGGCCTGTTGCATGCAGAGAAATTTATTTGGCAGCAATGATTTCCTCATCCATGGGGGGTCAAGCACTCATAGCATAGGCAGAGATACCCCTCCAGGCAGCAGCGCACATTGTGGGGAAATGTGGGCTTGCATGAAATGCAGTCAAAGCTCAGAGCCCCACACCAAGTTCTCAGCTGTGCCTGGGGCACCATGGCAATCGGCAGCAGCAGGGCATAGTGGGTTGGGTACCCCTCTGTGTTCAAACAGCTTGTGGTATGCCCAGGTGACTCTGACCAGGAGCACACTTGGGGCTCAGGCCATGCATGGTGGGGGCCCTGGCCCAGGGCACCTCTATGGAGAGGGCTGCTGCGGGGAGAGGGAGGCATCACCCTCCCCTCCAGTAGCGCAGGAGCAAACTGCCTGACTTGCAGAGAGGAGAAGAGAGGGAGTTGTTTCAGGCCCACCGTGGCAGCTGCCAGCAGGAGCCAGCTCTGGCCTGTCCTGGGTAGGGGACAGGGAAGGCAGGCTGCCTGCGGCAAGTGGCCCACCTGCCCCCGCTGTAGGAGAGGGGATGGATGACTTGGCTAGTAGACCACCTACAGAAGGGCCTGCCCAGCCAACTTACGATGGTCCCTGGGCACCTGTGCAAGCACCCCCCTGAACTGAGGCCAGACGGTGCACAGCACCTCCATACAATACATGTTATCTCCGAAATGTTGTTGCAAATACTCACAAGCAGCCTCTCTGTCCTTGTTCTACAGGTCCAGCAGCTGCTTGCAGGGGAGAACCACCACCCACTGGTGGAGATGCAGCTGTAAAGATGCTGCCATCATCGGCCGGTACCCTCTGCACACTCCACCTCTGCCAGTGCTGGACCCAGGACCAGACCGTGCTGCTGGACTGTCTGGTCACAGCAGTGGCTCATGTGCTCGTCTTAGGACAGAGTCCAGAACCCAGTGAGGGGGCAGGAGAGGGACCAGGCATACCTCTCCCTTGAGAGGCACATTGTCTTCCTGGACCTCAACCAGCCTCTCTAGGACCGGGAGGGCCCCATGGGGACCTGGGTGGTGGAGGTGACATAGGAAGACCATTGGGTTCTCGACACCATCCTGGCCCTGGCAGTCAGCTTTGTGCAGCCCAACACCCAGTCCAGCCCTGCCTGGCCCTTGGTAGCCATCCATAGCCCAGTGCCAAGACCCCCAGTGGGCTTGGGAGGAAGTGCAGTGCTGCCTGCACTGGGCAGGACCCCTGCCTTGGCTCCTGAGTCTGGTCCCCTGGTGGCCTGGCCCCGTGCCTGGGCCGCTGCCTTCTGCTTGCCCCACCGCCATTCGGCCCCTGAGCAGGAGCTGGCAACAGCTGAGCCAGCTCTGCATGTGAATCCTGCTGGGCCCAGCCCTTTGGAAGCGGAGGGTAAGCGCCTTACTAGGATGGGAGCCCTTTGGCAGCCTGAGGTTGCCCCCCTGCCCCTTCCAGCCTGGGGCTGGCATCTGGGCAGCTGCACCTAGAGCCTAGAGTTCTTCCTGGCTACTGCAGGGGGGCAGAGCAGGGCAGGAGCAGCCCTGGACCTGACTGCTCCTGTTGGGTGTAAATCTGTGCCTGATGGCACACATATAGACATGCTCCTGGTTGAAGTGTACTGCACCTGAATTTACTGCATGGTAACATTCAGGTGTATTAATTGCACATGTAGACACATGCACAAGTACTAGCCTGCTCTGGAGTCTTTTTGTGGTTGGCAGCACAGATATAGACACTAGCAACTGGCTGAGGCATGAGGGTGCTTCAGTGCGGGGGCTCTCTACCAACTAGTCCCATGCTGAAGCACTCTTGCAGTCCAGCCAGCCCCTTCGCAGTACATTGAGCCCAGTCGGAACAGCCGTGGGCTGCTGCCAGCTGTGGCTGCTCTGACCAGGCTCCATATACTGCCCACAAAAACTTTGGAGCAATATACTCTGGAGGTTTTTGCTTACAGGTGCATGTTCAAATGGCATGCCCAGGAGCAAAAAACTATGGAGCAGTAGGATCCAGAGGCTATATGTCTGCATTAATTGCACATGTAGGCATGCCCACTATATCCAAGTCTGCAAGAAATGTTGAATGTATCAGAGTTCTAAATGTTCTTGTACTGTAACTCAGTCCAAATGCACATTTTGGTCTGTAGCCCTTCTCAGCCCACCCCCTGCCCACCAGGAAGAGGCCGGCACAGTCCATGGCCCCGAGTCCACAGTGGGCAGCCTGCCCTCACCCTGTGCACAAATCTGGGAGGCACAAGCCCCCATGCCTCTGCTGGGGGGGCCACACAGTGGTGGGGAGTTGCCCCCCTTCCCCATACCCGACTGAACAAGCTGCCCATGGTGCCATCCTGCACCCCACCCTGCTCAAGCTGGGCAGAATCTGCCCCAGCCTCATTCCCTCCTTCACCATGGGGGTCCTCGATTTGCTTCCCCCACCCCCTCGGCTCCTTCCCTCTCCTATGCTTTCTCCCCTGAACAGACATCCTGGCCGGATGCTGTTCTTCAAGCTGGCAGGCTGCGTTCCTGACTGCATGTATGCTGCAGTTGTGCATGTGCACACAGCATTTATCATTGACACTGGCTACACTAGCCAAAAAAAGCTGATTGTCAATAATGTCAATTTTCCTTCTATCGGTGCCGATCCCTCTAGTCCTTAGTAATGAGTGTCAGAGATTAAATGTCCGTACAGAATTTGTGGCAATGTTATACGTTTAATAAAAAAGAAGGAGCCTGTTCCCTCCGTGATACGTGCATGCAAGTCATTAATAGGAATAAAGCAGAACTCTGTTTTATACTGTAACCAGATGGGGTCCTACAAACTTTTCTGGAAAGAAGTTTTTGGTTTTTTTTTAATATAAATTTTAAAGATAAAGATGTTTAACTGGAATTAAATTTTGTTTGTGAAAAAGTTCTATCAAAGCTGCTCTAACACCAATTTATGATCCTAATGAGGAAAGCTTGTCTTCTCTAGGTACCATTACTAAGAAAAATCCCAACTTCTTGTTTTATTAACTACTTAATTTGAATTACTTAACTGTGTTTTGGAAAGAGATTTGATAAAGACACAATTTTTGTTGCTTAGAAGCATGCAGAAAGTCTTTAAAAATATATACTTTTTTTACTTTGAAAATTCAGTTTGTTACCTTTTTTCACCCAATTTTCATTAAAAGATTCTAGGGATGATAGGAAAGTTAGTTTTAGAGAGTGGCAAGTAATATCTGATCAACTAATGAGAAATATTTATTTTTTTGAGGACTTTCAGGTAATAAAAACATACTTACAGAACTTGAGACCTCCAGCAAAACTAGAGAAGATCAGACTTGATGGTTTTAAGTTAAGATTGACTGGCTGTGTCTACACATGTGCTTTACTGTGTAGTAGACTAATTGGCTGTGGAGTAAAGCATCCCATCTACATGTATATGACACAGTAAACTAATCTACACCATAGTAAGATAGTAGCATCGGGCACAGTACTACTTATGCCAGGGTAATTTACTGCATCTAAATGCATGTGTAGATGCTGACCGTTGGTGTAAATTGCACCTGCTCAGCCCAGCCACCAAGGGGCCAAACCTGCTGCCTAGCCACACAGCTCCTCACTTTCAACTCCCTCATGCCCCAGCCAGCCCCTCTGCTGCCAGACTCTGAAGCCTGGGGCTCACCCCCCTCATCCTCTGCCTGGGCCTGCTCTACTCCAACTCAAATGGTGCTGTCCCAGGCACACGTGTAGATGCTGCACCTGGGAGTAATTTACTCTGGCTCAAAAGGCTCCAGAGTTTATTACTTTGTGTTAATTTCATGTGTAGATGTACTCACTGGTACCTAGTCCTTTCAAGAAGGAAAAAATTCCAATCAGGCTACCTTTTATACATAAAAGAGGAAAAAAAGACAAAGTTTTATTTTTCTATTAATAACTTGTGACGATATATTGCTTTTGATCTATATTTATTTCCAGTTAATGTAAAAGTAGGAGTAAGACATGATGCTGGCCCTAGAACTATAAGTTTTTGTTCTGGTTTCTATCATGCTAGGTATACTGAACGGGTAATACCCCTGTATACTTTTATGGAGTGATAAGAAAATCCCTGGGACACTAATGATGATGCACTGGGTGTGTAGGTGATCCAAATATTGAAATATATGCCTATACGTAAACTCCTAGTCTTCACTTTTTTTTAAAATGTTTTATTGTCTTGTTAATTGAAGAACTTAGTTACATATGCATATCTCCTACTAATTAAAGCATACAAAAAATACCTCCAAGTCATGTTCAAGAAGATGTGTATTTCTTAAGCATTGTAAAGGTTTATTACTGTTAACACTTTTTTTTGTATTTCTCCAGGAGCCTTCAAGATGAATTCTACAGAAATTATTTCACTCACTGTTACCCCATTAGGTGTTATTCCAGACTTCAAAAATGCCACCCTTGTGCCTTTCAATGAAACTGCATGTGAAAACTGGAAAGAGATTCATCATCTGGTTTTTCATGTGGCAAATACTTGTTTTGCAGCTGGATTGGTTATTCCAACTACTTTAAATTTTCATATGATTTTCCTGCGTAGTTTGCTAACTATAGGTAGGTCAAACTTTTTTACAACCTTGCCATGATTTAAAGAGTATTATATACTTAATATAGGGTATTCCCTGGAGTCATGCTTTCATCGTGGGATTCTAGTATATTTTAATTGTCATGATATTTTGCTGAAGGATAATCTATTACAGCTTGGGCCTGTTAGCTATTCTGACCTTGAATTCCTTGGCTGGAAAAGGTCCAGTCACTTAGAACTGTCAGCATGTGTTCTGATGCTGGCTTCAAAAGTTCAGTACTCTTAACATTTCTAAACTGTTTTATGGGTCATTTTCTTAAGTTTCAGTAAGATGTGAAATGCACAGTAAGTCTGTGGTGTGCAGCTTCAGCTGTTGAGATTTTTTTGGCTTAGAAAAGAAGTGAACGGAGGGGAGAAAGGAGCAAATTGTTTGTGTTGAGTATCTTTCCCCATGGCAGATTTCCTCAGAAAAGAAATCTAATTTATGCTCATGACCAAACGTGAGAAACAATTCAGCCCCTGAAGAAAGTTCTCAACTATTTAAAAAAAAAAAAAAAAAAAAAGGGGGAGAGAGAGAAAAGTGCAATTCTAACTTTTGTTATTACAGTGAGATATAAAGATTGTAGAAGGTGCAGCATAAATCTCTCATGCTCATAAATCACTTCGTTGGAGAGAGACAGGGAGTGGGGAAAAACAGAAATCCCGAATGGAAAGAACCATTAGCATTTTTTCCCAGTAAAAAGTGTTAATGGAATGTTTAATGTTTCCACATTGCCAGGGCCTCTATTTCTTGGTCATGTAAGTAATAATACCATTTAGCACCGTGCTGGTACCTGGGCTTAAGGGTAATGGTGAGAAAATACTATCTATACCTGTAAATAAAATCCAGCTTCATGTAGTAACTTGGCTTAATTCTTCTTAAAACATGAAGTCTGAGATATTGTGCCGTAGCAGTGAAGCTTTTGAATACGGATTATATTCATAATTATTCACCTTTAGTCTCATAGGTGTCTAGCCTGCATTTCAACTGCAACATGGAATAACACCCCACCATACCTCCACCTCGTGCTCCCTGCCATCTCTTCTGATTACTGCGGATACTACTATACTATTTGTCCATTGGATCCTTTCTGGAAGACAGCTGTAAAAATAAAGCTTTTCCTATTTATTTATATAGCTAAAACTCTGGTCCACGCTCTAGTCTTGCATCTCAGTTCTGTTTTTTTCAAGGCCAGAGGGAAGAACAAATACAGTCTAGCTTTGTAAGCATGTGGAATAGTGCTGCACATATAATTTGTCCCTTGTCTGTCACTTTGATCATGTCATCTCTCTCTCTGACATAAACTGCTTGTCTTCACTTTCAAAACTCCGCCTTGCCATCTCTGTTCACTATGTAGGTGTCAGATCCTGCTGACAATCAGATTCCAGGATGTCTGGCTCCAATCTTATTCTTCTTTGGCAGTCCTTCACAGTCAAAGATGATTGTCTTCCATGATTGTCTTACCTGTCGGTCCAAAGATGGGTGATGAGGCCAATCTGGGATTGACAGACTTTGTTGCAACTCTGGCATGTGTTTTCCATGTGGGGCGGGTGGCTCCAGATTCTTGATTCAGTCTGTGATATGCTGTTTCTGCCACTCCACTCTTTCTGTCTTCTGTTGTCATCATAAGATTTCAAAGTACTGAGATCCTTGCAATAGACTCTTCCTCCATTTGGGACCACTGGTTCCATTGCCCACTTGTTGAATCTTTAAGCGAGCACCTTCATTCTTTCTCATACTCAGCCTTTCACGCTTGGGAGGAACATCCAATAAACATGCACTCAAGAGTTATCCTCTTTCAAGGCTTTCCTTTTCTGAGACTGACAAATGATATTTAACAGTTACACTGCTGCTGAACAGAGACATATTTCTTGCAGACCAGACTTGTCTCGCTATTTCCTGGTATTCCCTCATCTGTGGTTGTTTTTGTTTATTTTTTTTCTCTCTTGTACTGGAATCATAAGCCCCTTAGGGGCAGAGATTGCCTTTTGATTATGTGATCATGTAGTGTGTAATAGAGAGAGGTTCTGGGTTTTTAGTACCAAAATTAATAGAAATATTGCTGCAAGTCTAAGGCTGTTATAATGCAAGGGTTAACTAGCATTCTTTTTCTGACCATACTCAAAAAAGCAAGGTGATCAAATTTGTTACACATTTTTATAATCGCTATAGACCAGTGGCACTCAATCTTTTGGCCCTGCAGACAGAATGAGTGGTGCGGCACTAATTTGTGTGCTGGACCAGCCCCTGTGTGCTGGGGTAGGCCTGTGTTGCCTTCCCCCAACCCTGTGCACCGGGAGCAGGCCCTACACTGCCTCCAGTGGGCTCTGCATGGCCTCAGTTAACCCTGGGCTTGTGGATTAAGCCCTGTGCCAGTCTTGGGCACCTGGATCAGGCCCTGCTTTACCTTCGGTGAGGCCTGTATGCCTAGATAGGGCCCATGCCACCCCTTCCCCAGATTGGGCCCAACACCGCCCCTGCCTCTCTGTATGTACCTAGATTGTGCCTGCACCACCCCTGACCAGGCTTGCGTGCCGCTATTGGGCCAGCACTGTCCTCCCTTGGCCCTGCATGTCTGATCAGATCCCACACCTCCCCTGCCTGGCCTCATATGCCAAGATTAAGCCCCAGGCCACCTTGCGTACCCAATGTAGCATCCAGGGACACTGTCTGGCCTTCAGGGCTACCCACAGGTCTGAAAATTTGGCAGCAAGGGAGCAGCAATTAATGGTGCCACTGCTCTCCCCCACAAAGTTTTTGGACCCAGGTGGAGCCCTGTAGGCCAGATTACATGGCTCAGGAGGCTGGATCTGGCCTGTGGGCCTGGGGTGAAGTACCCCTGTTATAGACGCATAGGGTCCCTTCCAGGCCTCCCATTGGAGAGCATCTGGTCTAGTACCCTGTAGGCAGGTTCCTCTCTATTTAAACTATTTCTGTCAAGTGTTTGGCTAACCTTCTCTTAAATTCCAAGGACAGAGATTCCATATCCTTCTTAGATAATTTGTTCTAATACGTAATTACCCTGAAAGTGAGAGAGTCCTTCCTTACTAGCAAACAAGATAGCCCAGATATTAAATGCATTTGTACTTGAAATGAAGTTGTACTGCAGAATTCTGAATCCAACACACTTGCCCGAATGTAGTGCTCTGAGAGAGTGGCATGGAGAAGAACTGTTTCAGTCCTGATTCTTTCAGGTGATAAATGGCTGTTTCAGCCTAGACTATAGTAGTCAGCCATCTTGTTGCCTTAACCACATCCCACAGGGTATGCTTTACATTCATAATGTCCACTGTGACTTCAGTATTTTTGTTGGCTTTTCTGCTCTGGCTTTCTCCACTACATTTTGCAGCCCTTCAGACTTCTGCTGCTTTGCACTATCGCCTTTTCTGCACTTTAGTAGGAGCTGTCACTAGTACCTCCTGCCCTAGGCACCTCTGACTTCTTCAGTGACCAAGCAACAATTTTAAGTCTCTTCCTGACTCCTTTCTTATATATCCTGAAGTGATTGGTGCTGAAAGAGCAGGCTCACAATTTGAATAGGCCTTTATTCAATTGGCTTTGAATCTCTAGGGTGAAAGTTGAACCCTGTTTAAAGTCTATGTGGGTTTTCAATATTAAAGAGCTAGAAGGATTTTGTGATGGTAGGTGGTGCCAAAGTCTTATCTTTTTCCTATTTACCGTAAACTGAATTGTCAAAATAGGCTAAATTGTCAAAACAAAGGTCTATTTTTTTTCTTTTTTTACAAGATCTCATTACAATCAACAGGAGTTCTGCATGTGTAGAGCTCACTGACTTGGGCTCTAGGGTGCTTTTATTTTTAACTGAATTGCATGGAATCTGAATCTTTTAGACTGAGATGGCAACTAGAAAGTATATTATGTAATGTAAGCAGAAGTTGCACAAACAAGAACCTTATCTGTATAGCAGCTCTTGCTAATCAGAGCAGAGTAATTTAAAAATATGAATAAGAATTTGATAATATTTAGAAAATGTTTCAGACATTATTTTCTCCTATCAAGTGACATCCTCAACATAACGAAGGAAGATACAGATTTACCTTTTTCTGTCACAACATGTTGTGATGTTTCCCTAAGATTTCAAAATTTCTGTAGATAGCATTGTGGAATCCATGGAAAAAGTGTTTGCTGATTTTTAACGTTCCCTTTGTCTGTAACCTTTACATTTTGATACGAATACTTATTGGTTCTGTGTCAAATCAGTGTCATGCCAGTGACAAAGCAGAAATGCAAAGCAGGATTTATTTATTTAAAATGTTTCTTGCAATTTAAACCAATTGGTTTCATAACTCTCCCTTTTTATTAAAATGCTGCCAGTGTTTGTCCCTAATATCTAACAGTATTAAAATTGGAAAAGTGCATAATTTCTTATATCATAGTGGCTATTTTTGAAAAAAGAGGGTTTTACAGGTACATCAAAATAATAAAGTATATATGATTGTGTAGAAATGTTTATATATAGCTGAACAGTATAATTTAATTTATTTTATTTTTGACAGGATGTACAATGTTTATTATCTGGGCTACGTTCTTCCGTTGTGCCGTGGACATAATGATCTGGAATACAGTATTCCTGGTGATCAACTTTTTGCATTTTATATACTTGGTGTACAAGAGAAGGCCGGTATGTATAATGATTAAATTGCACAACATCTAAAAGGATAAAAGAACAATTTTCTGTCTGTGCTTGGGCAAACTTCACTGAATTTGGTTGAAGTTCTGCCTGAGTCGGTCAACAATGGCAGGTATCAGTTTCTACTGGTATGATTTGAGCCTGATCGTTTGCAAAATGCTTCTCCTTTTAAATCTTTTCATTGTTTAGAATGCATACTATTTTCTTTCAAACTGACTTACATTTCAAATGATGATCAGTTTTGCATTCTTTTTTTTGTTTTGTGTACAACTTGAGACATTTCAAAGTGCAGCTGATTTATTTATTTTTCAGAGGATTGGTGTGTCAAACTTTGGAAAAATCAGGTCCCACTAATGTATCTGAAACTTAGGCTCAGAAACTTTGGGGGAATAAATTCTTTTCTTTTTTTTTTTTTATGGTTTAAAATCTGGAGCCATCTTGGCTTGTGGTGGAGGGCAGCCGTTGATAAACTCTTAACTGAATTTATTTTCATATTGAGCTCTTTAATGCAGCTTTTAAGTTTTTCTGCACAGTAGTCACACAAACAGCCCTGCCCCTTGTTCTCTGCTATCCCTTGTTCTCTCCTTCATCATGCAATACAGAGCCAGGGAGTGGGGAGAGCAATAGGGGGAGAGAACCAACAAAGAAAGCCTTGAGTTGGCCCTATAGAGGGGGAAACTAATAACTACAGAGCTATTCCTAATGCTGTTGAGAACCTGGGAGGCTGAGGGATAACCAGCAAAATTGTGCAGGATGTGAGAAGAGCCACAGGATAAAAGAAGAAATCCTTTAGTTTAATTTCCACACAGAATACTGCTTGATCTTCAGTTAAAATCATTAGTAACATACTGGGCATGTCTACACATTCACTAATGCGCTTTTGGTAATGCACATTTAAATTTAGTACCTCCAGAAGGCACATCTATACATGCATTAACACACTTTAGTTAATGTGCATGAAATCTAGTACCTCTGGGCTCCTACATACGTGTGCGGAGCCTGCTCCAATGCACTGGGAATCCAGTTAATCGAGTCTGCTGGAGCACAAAAATTGATATGTTCTGGCAGCCTTCCACGTCACATGTATCAGCGTCGCCGTGCATCTCCACACTGAAAATATGGCAGCAAGGCACTTTGAAATAAAACACGTTCAATGAGCTTTAGTTCAAAGCGCCCACCACCATTTTTTTTCAGCGCAGGGGCATGCAGCGATGCTGATACACGTGACACAAGAGTGCTTCTAATCGGCGTGCAGACAAGGTTCCTTGGGTGAATCTGATATCTTTTATTAGACCAACCCAGATAGTTGGAAAATAGTTATTAGGCAAGCTTTCAGGTTCAAAAACCCAACACCCCTCTAATCTCACTACTTAAAGTGCCCAGTACTGCGTCCCATACCATGTGTAAAAATGCCCAGTCCATTGTGAGGTACTAGGAAAATGCGCATTAGCCTTTCTTAATGCCCATTAACTAAAGAGTACTTTTTAAAGTGACACTTAATGCGTATTATCCTATTTTAATGCATGTTAACTAAATAATGTTTTTTTTGGTGGCTCTTTAATGTATATTAAAATAGACTAATGTGCATTAAAGTGTTTGTGTTGGCGCGCACACTGTGTAGTCAAAAACTCCTTCCATGGAATTGCAGCCAGTTGAAGCATAAGTGCTAGTGCTGCTCTGCAGGTACCTTGGAAGGAACTGCAGAGTAGGATAGTGGAGGAATCCAAGACATTGTGCACACTCCCTGAATTGAGAATCAGCTGTAGAAATCCCTAGACCTTAACTTCTTTTTTTCTGCCAGCTTCCCACTTAGCATATTAAAAAGAACCATGGATTTAAACATGCATATTCTGTGGCTGCAATGGATCGGAGAGAATCATAGAAAATTAGGGTTGGAAGGGACCTCTGGAGGTCATCTAGTCCAACCTCCTGCTCAAAGTAGGATCGTCCCCAACTAGATCATCTCAGCCAAGGCTTTGTCTGGCTGTGTCTTAAAAACCTCCCATGGATGGAGACTCCACCACCTCTCTGGGTAGCCTATTCCAGTGCTTTACTGCCCTCCTAGTGAGAGAGTTTTTCTAATATCTAATCTAAACTTCCCTTGCTGTAATGTGAGACTATTGCTCCTTTTCTGTCACCACTGAGAACAGTCTAGCACAGGGGTGGGCAAAATACAGGCCGGATGCGGCCCGCCAGGCCATTCTATCTAGCCCGCGGGGCCCCAAAAAGTTTAGAAAATTAATATTTATCTTCCCCTGGCTGCCTGTCATGTGGCCCTCGATGGCTTCCCAAAACTCAGTAAGCAGCCCTTTGCCCAAAATAATTGCCTGCCCCGGTCTAGAACCATCCTCTTTGAAACCACCCTTCAGCAGTTAAAAGCTGCTATTTAATCCCCCACCGTCTTCTTTCCTCCAGACTAAATAAGTCTGTTCCCTCAGTCTCTCCTCAGAAGTCTTGTGCCCCAGCTGCCTAACCATCTTCATTGCCCTCTGCTGGATTCTCTCCAATTTGTCCACATCTTTTCTGTAGTGGGGGGCCCAAAACTGAACATAGTACTCTAGATGTGGTCTCACCAGTGCTGAACAGGGAGAAAGAATCACTTCCCTCAATCTGCTGGCATTGCGCCTACTAATGCAGCCCAGTATATCATTAGCCTTCTTGACAACAAGTGTGTGCTGTTGGCTCATATTCAGCTTATTGTCCCCTGTAGCCCCCAAGTCCTTTTTCTGTAGAGCTGCTCCTTAGCCAGTCGGTCCCCAACCTGTATCGGTGTGCATGGGATTGTTCCAACTTAAATGCAGGTCATCGCCCTTGTCCTTATTGAACCTCATGAAATTTCTTTTGGTCCAATCATCCAATTAGTCTAGGTATCTCTGAATCCTAGCCCTACCATCCAGCGTATCTGCTACTCCCCCAGCTTAATTTAATTTGCAAACTTGCTGAGGGTGCACTCAATCCTATCTTCCAGATTGCTGATGAAGATATTGAATAAAACTGACCCCAGGACCAATCCCTGGGGTACTCCACTTGATATCGGTGGCCAACTAGATGTTGGGCCATTGATTCCTACCCTTTTTTTGAGCCCAGTGATCTAGCCAGTTTTTTGTCCCCCTTACAATCGATTCATCCTTAGCTTGCTTACAAGAATGTTATGGAAGACCATATCAAAAGCCTTGCCAAAGTCAAGGTGTATCAGGTCCACTGCTCTTTCTGCATCCAGAGAGCCAGTCACTTCATCACAGAAGGCATACTTACCTTGCAAGGGAAATACCATGATCACCAGGGCGGTTTTCCTAGTCGCATCTGAGGATAACAGCTTTTCTGGCACAGGGCAGTACCTGCAGAGGTAATGTATAGTTACTCTCCCATGCTTATTGCCCATGGGAAGATCTTGGCTTTATGTCCACTTTACGGAAATAGGAGACTTCTTCCTAGCTTGCCTCTGGGGCCATACGGCTGAGGGTGAGAAAAGGTCAGGAGCATTTGACCCCCAAGCCTCTGGTCTTGGGCCTGCATGTAGGATGCCTGCCAAAGAATTTGGAAACATCTGAAGCCCCAGTTGGTGTGGAGGATGCTTGCCCGTAGTAGGACCACTTAAGGTTCTTGGCTGACTCTCAGATTTGGAATCGATTTGGCTGATTCGGTTTGGAACACACAAAATTCTCTTTAAAAACCAACAACAACAAAAACTTCATCATAGAAAGCAAGCAGGTTGGTCAGGCATGACTTGTCCTTGGTGAATCTATGCTAACTGTTCCTAATCACCTTCTCGAACGGCTTAGAAATGGATTCCTTGAGGACCTGCTTCATGATTTTTTTCCAGGGACTGAGGTGAGGCTGACAGGTCTGTAGTTCCCTAGATCCTCCTTCTTCCCATTCTTAAAGGTGGGCACTATATTTGCCCTTTTCCAATCATCAGGAACTTCTCCCGATTTACCACAAGTTTTCAAAGATGATGGCCAGGAGCTCTGCAGTCGCATCAGCCAACTCTCTCAGCTGCCTCCAGTGCATTGCATCTGGCTCCAGGGACTTATACACATCCAGCTTTTATAAACAGTCCCTAATCTGATCTTTTACCACTGTTGGCTGCTCACCTCCTCTCAAAACTGTGATGCCAGGTGCAATAGTCTGGGAGCCGACCTTGCCTGTGAAAACTGAGGTGAAAAAGGCAATGAGCACTTCAGCCTTTTCCGTATCCTCTGTCACTAGGTTGCCTCCCCCATTCAGTAAGGGACCCACACTTTCCCTGATTCTCCTCTTGTTGCTGACATACTTGTAGAAACTCTTCTTGTTGTCCTTCATATCCCTTGCTAGCTGCAACTCCAGTTGTGCTTTGGCCTTCCTAATTTCATCCCTGCATGCCTGAGCAATACTATTATACTCCTTCCTAGTTGTTTGTCAAAGTTTCCACTTCTTGTAAGCTTCCTTTTTTGTGTGTTAGCTCACTGAAGAGTTCCCTGCAAAGCTAAGCTGTTCTAGCTGTTGCTAGTCTTCCTGCTCATTGGAATGGTTTGTTCCTATGCCCTCAGTAAGATATTATGACCTGGGATTCCTTACCATTTATTTATTTAGTTAAAAGTAAAATATGATTTACCCCCACACGCGACAAAAAAATTATTGGTAAACAATCCCTTAATCTTTCTCTCTCTTATTCATATCTGGAGAGAAAAAACAATCTCTGTAATGGGAAATCTTACCCTTATTCCTGGAAGAAATAAGGTTAAAAAAAAAAAAAAAAAAAGTATATTCTTGATATATCTGAATTGAATCCGGAGCCAGCTACTCCACATGGAAACATGTGTTTTGAGTTCCATAGAACCTGTTGATCCCAGATTGGCCGTTAGCGGTCTTCAGATCCACAGATAAGGAATCCATGGATGACAATCATCCTCAACTGTGAGAGACTGCCAACGATGATGACTCTAATATTCACATGCCTGTTTTTATTTCATATCTCGGGTATGTCTTGTCTAAAATTAGTCTCGTCTAGC